GTTGCGGTCGACGAAGGCAGCTATCTCGTGATCAGGAAAGGTGGGCATGCGGGCCCGTTTGAACAGACATTTCGTAGCGTGACTTCTACATCGCACGTACACAATCTCCAAACCACCCCAAAAGAGCGTTGCCGGAAAGACCACCCTATACTAAAACGAACGGTGGCCAACTCTGCTGTTGTTTTCTTCACCAAAGCGCCTCGGTACTACGTTGAGGCCTAAGTAATGCCTATGAGTGACCGTACTTCTCGTTGTGGCGCTGCTCTTACTGGCATGTTGTCGTCACAACATTCTATCGAAGCTTCACAGACATCCACGACGTGGTTTTTGGTTATCGTTTTATTCACTTTAAAATTCGTTTTCTCGCGTTATCCTATGGAATATTGGTATTGGTGAAGTCCTATTTTAACCCTCTTTATGTTCAAGCAGAAAGATGGGCTCTAGAATTTGGTTTCCGTACCCCTTTAAGGCTAAGTAACGAGTAACGGTATTTCGTTACTTTTGAGGAGAAACGCGTACAATAACGTTTAAGCAGCCTCGTTTTAATCCGAACCTGAGTGTGCGTCTATTGCGAGAAAGGCAGATGGGCAACCCGAAAAACAACTGAACAGTATGAAAAGTGTATCAACGTTCGCCATTGAATGCGCCAGTCGAACTCTGCAGCTGGGAATATCCTTCACCCAGAGAACACGATAAGGTTCGCGGGTTAAACCTAGAATCGTGTACCGGCCGATTGTAGACCCGGAAATTGCCAACGCGGGAATGCACATAACCGATTGTCAACTTACAAGAAGCAGGGAGAACAAAAGAGAGAGGGAATCCCATATTCAACAGCGTTTTCTGAAGCACAACACTGCCGTTCCTTCGAGCGCGTCGGTAGAACGACTCTTCAGCGTCGCCGGAGATGTTTTCAAGGAAGCGGGGCAACATAACCGATAAAAGCTTCGAGAGGCAGCTACTGCTTCAGTGCAACGACTGCTAAAAAGAAACCATGAAACAAATGCAGTTGCGTACTTCGTTGTCAAAGTATCGAGAAAAGTAACTCGCTACTTTTGAGGTAAAGTAACTTGTTGCTTTTGAGAACCAGTAACGAGTAGCGCATTTAGTTACTGTTTGAGTGAGTGACGGTATCTAGTTACATTTCTTGGGTAACGTGTACATGTCTGTGATGCAGTGCTGGGTAAAGTACATCTAAAAAGCACTTCCAGTAAAGTACAAAGTAAATGAGATGTGATGTACTTCAAGTAAAGTAGTAAGTACACTGTGCGCAATGTACTTGAAGTGAAGTACAGTAAATACGATGCACTTTCAAAGTGAAGTACAAGCATTTTAACACAATCTTTCATGATGCTCATTCATTCCCCTTTAAAGTGATTTTTTTAATCGTATGCATTCCCAGAGGTAATCAGGGGTGCATTACCTATTTTCAAAAACAACGGCGAATATTCGATAAAGTCAAGTGACCACAGAATAGTTATTTTCAGGAATGTAACTAAATTCAGAAGTCCCTCTTCTGAACTTAGCGCGCTTGCACTGGGTTGTTGCACCCAAAGGGGTTAAATTGACTAGCAGAGAGCATAACGTAAGTCCCGTAGCTTCCGCAAACAATTTTCTTATAAAAAAGGCTCCTCTCCTCAATAAAACAAACAATAAACGGTGAGTGTGCAAGCGAGCTGGTGATAATTAATCATAATGTGACACCTGACATTGGAGTGCGAAAACATTAAAAAGAAAAAACTTTTAAGTCGAAGGAAAAGACAAAAGAGAATGTCTCAAAACATTTTGATATATGTTCCCCTCTGCTGTCTTTTTCTGCGACTTAAAAGTTTAATTTTTCCACACCACAGTCTCAGGTTCTACATTATGATTAATATTACTTTTCTAATATTTTAAACCTCCTTGCTAGCACTGACCAACCAAAAAGTAGTGCAAAAAGCAGTCGAAAAGGTTGCGTAGTGTGGCGAACGTTTCTCCGAGAAGGAGGGTATATAAAGCACTGGGTGAGTCTATCTTACGTTATGGAATCTCGTTATACGGAATGTGCTCCAACTATAAAAAATCAAAAATTAATAATATCTTCTATAAAATTGCTTGTAATATCACATATGGGACAATGTACGAAGAATTCGAGAAAGGTAAGAAAATGAATGCCGCGGGAGTCTTAACTACTGAGAGGTTGCACTGTTATGTAATTTTGGTAAAACATTACTTCAATAGTGATTTTAAAATTTCGTTAACAAAAGAACCAAATTTGAGGCGAACAGAAAAGTTCATTCTTCCTAGGAGTTCTTCTAGATATGGAAAAAATGCAAGGTCATACTATGTTCCTTTTTATTTTAATAAGTTGCCAGAAGAGCTTCATAACCTGGATTGCCTAAAAAGACTAAAACAAGACCTGAGAGAATGGTGCTGCCAGACGATAGGTGACTGAAATGGACCACGTTTTTTCGCTTGTTCTATTGTCGGGTATAATTCTCTTTGTTTGGTTTTGTCTAGTTGCATGTTAAGAATGCATGCCTTGTTATAACTATGCAAGCAACCTGTTGGACGCCAGGTCCCGCAGACAAGCATACCCATGCTTTTGCGGGCCGGTCTATGTACTGTGTTAAAAACGAGACAATAAAATATTTATTTATTTATTTAGCGAGAGTTCAAAAAGCTACGGGAAAGCCGCCTCTAGAACAAACGGAGCGATGCTTCGTCTGCTCACGTTTCTGGATAGAGATAGAATATCCCTCCCAGTATTTGTTCGGAGTTGACAAAGCATCATTTCACGATAAAAATTTAACAGCACCAAATTTGGGGAATGCACTTTGAAGTCGATAGCTGTACCTTCCTCGGAAAGTACCAGAAGAAATACTTTAAGTAAAGTACAAGTACATACTCGGAGATTGTACTTAAAATAAAGTACAAGTTTCCTAAATTTACTTGAAGTAGTACTTTAAATACAATGTACTTAAAGTACTTCTCAACACTGCTGTGATGAACTTTATTATACAGGACTATATATTGGAGGATCGCTTCTTTTTCTAGCAATGAAGCGAAAGGTACTTGAATATATCATATGGTATACGGTATGTGATTTGTTGTATAGTGTTTACTATAATATGATAATATTATAGTAAACACTATACCACCTTGCAAAATATGGCTGTTCACAAACTAAGAAGGCGTGCACCCTGCCCAATTCTGAGCACCTTTACGTGTTTTGTTGTCTTACATATGGCTACAGTCAATAGGCGAGGCGTGTGCATCATATAAAGTCGTTTAAAGATCATGAGGTCTTAGTACTGGATGTACAAAAATCAAGACCTCGCGTCATTTTTCTCGAGTCCATCGTCATGTGTACCGCGCTCGCGTTCGGGGAACATTGAGTGCTACTCATTGCGTGAATTGTATTAACAATCTTTCGTCGGTTGGATGAATGGATGCGTAGGGCTGAACCCTTGTACTTGGGCGGCCGCTTGCGCCACCTATCCAGTATGTTTTGTAATCATCAATAAATAGATAATACACCAACCAAATCCTCGTTTAAAGGCGGAACCATACGTTCCGAGACTTTTAAACGAGGATTTGCTTGGAGTATATTTTATTTATTATTATTTTTGCTCCCCCACCAGAGAGGCATCTCTCGAATGTTCACTGTCAAGTCTTTTTTGTAGTTGCAAGAGCCCATGTAGAGGCTCCGCCTCGAACGCGAGCTTTCCTCCTTGGATAGCACTTTGTAGCACGCGCAGTCAAAACCAAGCGGAAGGCAACGAGCGCATGCTGGAGGCGACGATTGTACTCAATTCTTAACCTGTCGCCGACTATATTTAGGAGTCCGTGTTTCCGGAGCTTATTTTTCGCTAAAACTGAACATTTTTGGAAAAAGAAAAAAAAAATACTTTTTTTTGTAGGCTTGATTTTCAGATTTGGAAGATTAAATTTACTGTGCTTCCAATTTTTTTGTTTAATAAAGAAACAGATATCCGGACACAAACGTACCCTTAATTCATAAGAACTCACCCGTATCGAGTGATATGGTTGCAGCTGCATTTTGAATTGGCGACCTTATCATTGGCAATACTAAAACTCTACCACGGCTAATCTTGCAAAGAAGTGTTGCTTAAATTAACGTCGATACTTCGAAATAACCAAACACCTGAACGTAGAGTTGGTGGGAAGCATGAAAGCTCCAGCTGCCCTGCCCTCCTTCTATGAGATAAACAGGATCTTAGATTTCACTGTTATATATAAACCCAGCCCCTCGTCCCCTCTAAAGCTGGGGTCACACTGCTCGGACATCATGCAAAAGACAGTCTGCAAGCACGAGACACTGCGATATTCGGAGTTCGAATGCCGCGTGATAGGTATCCTCCTTGAACTCACTGCCGTGCGGCATTCGAAGCACGGATCTCGCGGTTACTCTTCTTCGAATCTCTATGCAGACTGTCTTTAGTATGATGTATAAGCAGTGTGACCCCGGCGTAAGAAGCACAGATAGTATGCTCCGAACTTGAAACCGGAAGAGCGACCTTTGTCGTGACCCGGAAGTACAATCCCTTACAAAAATTATGAATGAGTTTCAATTGTGTGTCTAATATATTCTTATAGAATACATTAGAAACTCAATTGAAACACATTGATAATTGTTTTAATGGATGACCGGTTGTTCTCACGAACTTTGACGAGATAACTGATAAGCACCCTTTTGCCCATAGTTCGAGATTTCAAAAGAAACTGAAGTGGATTTTGCCTATAATTACCGACATTGCCCTCACGAAATTTATTCGTAAAATACCGTTTTCCTTTGCTTTTTATTTTGCCATCGTGACCTCGAAAATCGGAATTTTTTTTTCGTATAAATCTGAATTGAAGAAAATAACAATATACGAACATGTGTTTTTCGGAGTTTTCTTTTTCCGGGTTTATCTAAAAACACGGAACCTTAACCTTAACATACATGACATCTAGGCTCTCCTCTACAAAGTAACTAACACAGCTGTCTCCGCATGCAGCGCCACCGAGCGGCACCAGCCTAACGAGATGCTACGGCAAGTACGGCTGCTTCTCGGTGGGCGAGCCCTTCCTGTCGATCCACCGTCCCCTGAACCTGTACCCACTTCCGCCGGAAGCGCTCGGAGTCCAGTTCCTGCTGCGGACCCGGAGGAACAACGAGTTCTACCAGAGGCTCAAGTCCGGCGACGCCGACAGCTTCGCCGACTCCAAGTTCGACAGCACCAGGCCCACCATGTTCATCATCCACGGCTACCTGGAGCACGGCTACCAGAAGTGGATACCGGTAAGCCGCGGGGCGCGCCACCAAAATGGACACCATAGAAATGTCAGTCTGCAGACGCCAACGTTACTAGAACCATCAGTTGGGAAACTTCCACAGAGCCTGCATTAAAAAAGTGGCTCCGATCCATACACGAGAACCGAGCTAATGGCGATCGCAACGCCGCCATTTCTCCCGCAGCGTCCACTCCGGGAACTGCACGGGTGCACGTCGAGTCGGGCAAGGGCCTGTGGCGCCATCTCGCAGGGCCATTCCGGAGTAGCTATGTAAAGCAACTTTCATGTTTCAACTCATCGCTAAAGGGTGGCGCTGTTATCGTATTTAGCTCGGTCTTGGTGGACGCCAGCAGCCCAGGTTTCAAGGGTGAGTTTCGCAACTGAGGGTTTTAGTAACGTTATCGGACGCTGTCTGAGGCATGCTTCTTTCTTATATGACGGTCACATTTGTCATAAAAGACGGCCTGCTGACATGTAGAAAGCGAATATATGTGTGAAGCAGACATGCTTTGAATTTAATTGCTGCGTGTCCACAGACAACTCTGCCATGTCGTCTGCAGAGAACTCCGTGGATGGATGGATAGATGGAAGCTAACGGCTGTACCCTTTATATCGGGCGGTAACTTGCGCCACCTAGCCTTGAAGTTAAGAACTGAAATATGATTTCTTTCCTTCGTCAATTTGCTTGCACTTTGCAATTTCGTAACTATCACCAGGCGGCGTGGGATATCACCAGGGTGACACCCCTGTCATTTTGTATGATGCATGATCGATGCGACTGCTGCTTTAAGCGAACCCTAAACGTCACTGGTCTTTTCCCAGATATTCGTCAAATTTAAGCGGGACAACACTGTTTCGCTTAAAGTTACGGTAGGCTTTCGCCGCTCTCGGCACACGCGCAGTTTTCTGAAAGCATAACCACTCTTGACGAATCGGTGGGTAAAATAAAGGGGCACGAAGAATGCAATGTGAAGGGCCCTTCGCGATGCTTGTCGTAATTTTCTTCGTCGTGTCTTTGCATCAACTACAGAGTTGATGCAAATCTAGACCCCGTATGTGATAAAATTTAAAAAAGCGAGCGAGCGAATATTACTGGCTTGACAATAGCTTAGCGCGCCGCTATCTGCTTAAACTCTTTAGCAAATGGGCCACAGATCACGACTAGAACCAGGTGGAATATTTGTACCTCGGTATTTTGTATGGAAGCGCTACGAGGTTGATTTGAATCTGGACAACGGGGGGGGGGGGGGGGGGGGGGGGGGGGAGAGAGACATTTGAAAATGTAATGCGGACAACATCAGCTTTGACATGCGTCGCAATTTCAATTATTCAGCAGATGGGGTGCAACAGACTTGTACGGTATACTCGTTATGAGTAATCAAATTACTTGTCATAGATTACTTTTTTTTTAAATTTCGTAATAGTTTCATTTCACTTACGAGGGAGTCATCACAAGAGTAATTCGATTAATTTTAGGAGAACTAAAATGACTTGTAGGTGTTACTATTTTTTCCGCCCCCTTTCTAATGTCACCTTTGGTTTGTGCAAGTTTCCTACAAAGAAATCCTCAAACTAAGTCTCTGACAGGAGGGCGTTTTACCGAAATGGGATTAAAAAGATAAGTAGTTTATATTTTGGGGGTTAAAATCCAATAATGGACAGTACGAAAATCCCACCGTTTTCAAACCGGGAGAAACATCTGTCGTTCTTAAAGGATAATCTGTCGTTCTGAAAAGATAAAGAAATCAGAAAGGTAACGGTTACATTTTTTTTAGTCATGGCCATTTACTTTTCTTTTCATGTAATCAAGTAATTGAGTACATTTTAAGCAAAAGTAATTTTAAATGTGATCGATTACTTTTTTTCTAGTAAAGTGTACAAGACTAGTTGCAGATCACGGTAAAAGCCAGACTGAACCTTCGAGGCTTGTAGTTACTGCAAGGGTGACTGGAACCCCTATCGAGCTCGTTCACTTTATCCGGCTACGTGCACAGTAGGAAGGCCCTTTAATCCGCCCCACCGCTACGTGTTGATTCTTTTGGCCGGAACCCCATTGTCATCGAACCTGATGGTTTTAAGGCACTGCAGGGCTGACTGTTCACATTATCCGGAAATGTGCACAATACATTACATCAACACGTTCACCTGTAATGTGAGCTTTTAGAACTCACCGCACCGCTATACATGTGTCTGGCTGACAACGACTGTCATGGAATGAAGGAAGTCAGAGCTATGTTAGCCTGGGTAGACCTGAAGGCTTGTAGTCCCTGCAGGACTGATTGTCTACTCTATCCGGCAATATACACGGTACGCAGGGACGTTACATCAATATGTTCGCTTATAATGTGCGTTTTAGAACCCGCCCCATCACTATACCTCTGATTCCTCCAGCCGATGTCCGTTGCCAAAGAAAAACCCGGTGGCTTGTAGGCACTACAAGACTCGACTGTTCATATTATCCGGCAGTGCGCACAGTACGAAGGAGCAGCAGTTGACTGTTAGAATGTAGCATGTGTTAATTTTGTGTCCATTTGTTTTGCGGATAACATCCGCGTAGGAGGGGGGGGGGGGGGGGAGGGAGGGGAGGGGAGGGGGAGAGCCTGTGCCCCTCCCCCTCCCCTCCCCTCCCCTCCCCCCCCCCTCCCAACCGGTCCCCTACAGTTCAGCAGTACAAACAAGGAAGAATAAAGTACATCATGCGCGAAAGATGAAACGAAACAAGGCATATCAATATAAAGCATCGATTACTTTAATACAATGAGGCGTTTCCCATGAAACAAGTAAAGAGAAAACAGATACAATCTACTTCAAACATCAAAACGTTTCTTACGTCTCCAATGTATGGTGTAACGGAGATTGCTTCATTATCATTTTGACACGGAGCGTGCCATCCATACGGCGAGCAAGTGTTCCAAAATACGTCCTTGGCGCATCGGAATGCAAGGAGAGGCACGCCAATCAAAGGGCAACAGAAAGAAGTCGTAAGGAACGCATTATGAGTTATGACGAGGCAGCCAATCTTAGGCTGTCATTAATTGATGTCGTGGTGTGCAAGGAGCAGAAGAACTTGCACGCCGTATTACATTTCAGGAAAAAAAAAAAGAAAAAGAAGATCGGGCTAAATGTTTAGAAAAAAACAGGTAACCACATAAGTACTACGTTTGGACACAATACCGACTATATAGGACGACTACAGAAAAGAAACTTCCATTATACAAAAGAAAATGGAGCATCACATGTCACCAGCATCTTTCTGCAATGATTTTTGAAGCTATACAACGACTGATCAAAGTTTATGTTTATATCTGTTTTGTTTAGAATTTCTTTTTTTTTTTTTGGGGGGGGGGGGGAAGTGTTTAGAATTTGTCGACCATAATTTTTTCGCTTTGGATTTTGAGACGTGTACGTAATCAGTCTGTATATTGGTGTGGAGTGAAGTCTGTTTTTATGTACCCATTGCAGGGGTTAGAAATAATAAATAGGATCCGCTTTCAGCGTATTGTATTTGTTTATCAAGTTGCTGTGTTCTTAGATTCCTTCCGTCCCCTTTATAAATGTATACTATATACGTAGGGTTCTTTTCTTTTTTTTTTTGCAAGAGAATTAGTTTATTGTAGCTTGTAGCTCTTGTTGTTCCCCAAATCATGATGCCGTAGCTGATTTTGAAGTAAAATAGTGATGTAGTATGATGTCCGTTTAAGCCAGGTAGTAGACATTCAAGACAAATCGTCATCGGCGCTTTTGAACCGGCCCCGCGTCAATTGGTTGATTGCTCCGGTTGCCATCATCTCAGGAGTTGTCCACGGAACTGCTGACAAAGGACAACTACAACGTCATCGTGGTGGATTGGGGCCAAGGCGCCATGCCTCCGTACACGCAGGCAGTGGCCAACGCCAGGATGGTCGGAGCACTCGTTGCGGACATGATTATGCACATCCAGGTAAGAGACTGTCTGTCTGTTCCTCTGGGAGCCATGGCCGACCGTTCGTGACCGTGGCACGTTGGTCGCCCAAGAAGCGGGACTTCGCGTGCCGACGTCCACGGGGCCGGAGTGGGGGACATTTTTCTGTCGTTGCGTGTCTCCAGTTTGTCGTTTGGGTTTTCGCTTTCTCGCATTTCCTTTTTTGTCTTGCTTTTTACGTAAGTTGGACATAATTTTTTTTTTTTCATTCTGAGACCACGGAGGTTTACGTAAGCGTGACCAGTTGGGATGAATCTTGGAAATTCCCTCGACCACTTCGGGGGAACATTAGTAATGTAAAAAAAAAACGCCCGGAGGCAACACTCGTTGGCGGCCCAGGGCACACCATGTCACCGCATACGGGATAAGTTATTCTTATTGTTTTTAATGCTTCATGTGAATCAGATAATCAGTGCTCTGGATCGTGAACGCCGCTTAGGAAATAACTCGGTGACAGGTGTTTTTACAGATGAAACCAATAGAACATTCACGCTATGCTGTTCTTCGAAGCAGGGTACGTGACTAAGCGCCTCACGTCTCCCAACAGGCGGGACCCTATTTTAGACGCTTTGCAGCGTTAGATTACATCCTCGATCGCTGACCTTCTCTTGCCTTGCCAAGATGTCGAGCCAGTGAAGCGTTCGTTGACGAGCTTCCAGAAAGGCCAACGCTGGGGACGAGGACACGGTCGAATCAAAAATGGCAATAACCTGCCCTGCTGTGGTCACGATGAAACGAAGTACACGTAATAAAAGGAAAAAAATATCGAAGGTCGGTTATGGTTGCGTCGCCCACGCACAGCTTCTGCAAGGCGTCCATTGTCGATCTTGAATCGATCATTCGTTTCAGCGTAAATTGGAGCACGCTCGAGAGCTATAGGAGAAATGCAAACACAGCAAACCCACGGACAAATTACAGATGAAGACGCAACGTCACGGCGAGTTCAATTCACGCCACCCAGAAGACAATCCGTGCGTGTGACGTCATCGTCGGTGGGATCCCCCGACCCCATCCCAAGCGGCGAACACGCCGAAATGTGACGAGAGTCTCCGCAAGGCGGTAGACAATTCCGTCTTGGCGTCGCACTCGGTGTAGCGGGCGCAAACCAGGGCCCAATCGGGCAACACCCAAAGTGCTGCGTCACGGTATAGTTCGGCGTCGTTCGGAGCGCGGTATCCCCGAGCAAACCGGTTGGCCACGAGTGGGGTCAATCGACGACTGTATTTGGCTGTATCCAGATTACGTTTCACACCGTGATCATCCGATTACGACTGGTTAGGCCGTCAAGATCAGATTGAATCCAATCCAATCCGCGCACCGGGACACCAGTGACTTGTGAGCGTTTGTGTGTCCTCCAGCTGGTGACTTCGAATCTTACCTATAAGCCGCGCGGCCAGGCTGCTAATACATTATACTTAATATAGCCTGCAGACATTGTCTACAGGCCATGCTTATATGGCGGTCCTGTCACAGTGGTCATACGAAGAACTGCCTGCAGACAGTTTGGAAGCAGGTATGAACCGCGGAACACCGTGTCCTTTGCATGATGTATGCGCTGTGGGACTGGGAATTTACGCTGAGGTAAAGTGTGTTGTTTATGCGCATTATACAGACAAGCCTCAGTTGCGATAAAGTCTATAACTTCCGCGAAACGCCCCTAAACGCACATGAAGGCTCCCTACCCTAAACATAATACAAGAATAAATATGGCTTCCGGTTTAGTCGAAACCAAGTAAGTCTATCCGAGTCACTTTCTCTCGCATATTCATGGTTTCGTTTTCCTGTCCAATTTTAGAATCACTCGCAGTACGTGTCTTCGGTGTTGTGGTGCTTGCTCGTACTTGGAAAGGGCATGACGCACAAAAGAAAAATGGCGATGTTTGCCGCTATTTTAAAATTCAAGGTCGGTTTCTTAATTTCATACACACGTACGCGTCTTCCAGGAATAATGAGAAGCGTGTTGACTTGCAGACGACTAAGTGGCCAAGCCAAGTGTTGCCAGTGTGCGTTTAGTATAACTCCGTTGTCGACTCGAGGTTTTTACGATTGCACCACCGCGTGTTATTGATTGGGCGCTGTCTTCGTCACACCCTGTTGCAGACTTGGGGGGCACTCGAGCGTAATTTATTGACTCGAGCCGTTGGCACGTTCCAGGATCGCTACAGCGTGGCCGGAGCGGACTTCCACCTGATTGGCTACAACGTGGGTGCTCACGTGGCCGGCTACGCGGGAGAGAGGGTGAAGGGCCTCGGCCGCATCACTGGTAAAAACAAAACAAAAAATAAGTTGACAGCGACTTTTACTTTAGAAGCACTATAAAGCATAAAACGCAGTGTTTAAGTACTGAGAATATTTATTTGTTTAGGAGACATACACAGTCTTGTATACTATAGGTTACGTGGAATCATTATGGGCATATAAAAAGTAAAGATCAGGTTGCGTTGAGTCACGTGACATAAGTTGTCGCGCCATATTTAATGGGAAACTGAATTGGTCTGTAGGTCACTTGACGTCAGGTCACGAGACATCAATTTCCCCGCCAAATTTAGCGAAGAAACTGAAATGGTGTCTGGGTCGTTTGACGTAAATTTTTACGCTAAATTTATCGGGGAAACTGAATGGTCTATAGGTCACTTGAAGTCCGGTCGCGTGACATTGAATTTCCCGCTGAATTTAGCAGGGAGACTGAATTCGTGTGTAGATCACGTGACATCAATTTCCCCGCTAAATTTAGCAGGAAATGGACGGACGGACAGACAGAATTTTGGGAATTTTAATTTTTTAAACGCTAAAAAGAGTTTTACGGTTTAAAAAACACAATCAATAAATTAGGTGACTTTAGGAAGTTTTTGTCACAACCCTGTAGGATACTTTTCCCTTTCATACGTTTGATTTTTTTCTTTTCCTAGGTGGAATTAAAGCAAAGCGTCATTTTCGTAAAAGAATTTCTGCCAAAAATTGACGCTTTTCATAAAGTTCGCGCCGTATAGGAGCTGCTGCGCCAATTATCCGAGTTTGTCACTGTTTGGGCAGATACTGTACTCTGAGCATGTATTGCACGCGAGAGCTACGTCAGCGCCCGGCGTGAGCTCGGCTGAGCTCGAATCGAAAGAAGAGCGTGACGTCAGCGTTCGGCGAGGACTCGTATCCAATCATACGCTACACGTCCGAGCAATGGCGACCGCCAATGTTGCTTGATGGACTTTTGAAAAGGGCCTATTAGGCTTAGCGATAGCAGGTCATTAGTGGCATCCTTCAGATGTGGCGGTATTAAAGAGTTCTAGTTTTTGATCAGTTATTCAATAGACCAGATTACATCAACAACAGGTCTTTCGAATCGCTTGACCGATTTGATTGACACCATTTTTTACAGGTCTGTTACATTGAATGCGTTTATTCAGGAACTCTAGAGTGTGTGGCAGTAGATTAATTAGTACCACCATCACCCGTAAAGTCGGTAAAGCGTTTTGCGGTGAATGGTTTTCTGATGTTGCGACGCACTGCATCACACACTCCTCTGATGGTCTTCAACGAAAATACAGTGTTTATATTAGACATAATTCAGCGTAATAAATCACTACATCTGAATATGACGCTTCTCGAAACGCAAAAAATAAAAGGATGTGATTATTGATATTTGTTTTCTATGGGTAACGAGAAGGCATCTAAACAAGGAATCAGTCACGACCGAATGGGCGAAAGAAACTACATTTACCAGTCCAAGGCTGCCGGTATAAGGCAGCTTAATGAGGGCTCCCCGGCCAGGTTAGGATTTAACATATGATATATTGACAATATTCACTTTGTTAAAGGGGCGATGCAACAATTTTTGTACTTTGCGCAAATACCGCTTAGAACGGATCCCTGACATTAATGACCTATGAAACACGCGTTCGTTTTTCATCCCACGCAATAGGAGTCCCAGAAAAAAAAATTAAAGAAAAACGAGCAGCGTTCACCCCCTCAACTCGCAGCCAGAACGAGCGGCCATGTGATCTGGAGCCGATTATATGCCGCCAATGTAGATCATAGCCACACGCTGGGGTTGGCAAAGCACAGGGTACGCGCCGAGTTCCAGACATTGTTATGGCTCGGCTATTGTCGTCGCTGCAGCGATTGGACACGGGCCACTACCCGAATGCTCCTCGAGCTAGTAATCATAACGAGCCCAAACCGAGTGCCCACGCAATTCTCGGGTCCAATCTATAAACCGCATTCAAATATCGTTACTTGGGTGTACTGCGATCCCCACGTTACGTCATCAAAATTTGCAAAGGAGAGATTGAATGAAAATGATCGCTTTTCTCCTCGAAATTACACCGCAACAAAGGAGTTCCTTGGCAAGCGGAGTTGCGTGCGAGTATCCTTGACTCCCACTAGTGCCAGTAAGCTCGTGTATAGTGAAAAACATTCCAACTGAATATCGTTGCGCAGCTCCTTTAGTATTTAATAATTACTGATCAATTTACACGGACTGCCAGGTATGCGATTTGACAACCAGTGCAAGAAAGGGCGTAGAATTTCCACCAAACAAATTACCTTTGACAAATAAAACAAACGTGAACAATAACTAGGGAAGTGAGGAAACGTAACGGTGAGATGAGAACGTTGACAAAAAAATCTTGGAACGTACGAGATATTCCTAGCGTTCTGCGAAAGCCTGATATGTCGGTCAGCTATACCGTAATACACAATGGTTCTATCAGAACGTTTACGATGCATGTGACAAAATGTGTTTCTGTATTTCAACCTATGGAATGAAAGTCTGGACGGTTCCTCAGTCGTAGAATGTTCTCTCCCCCACGTGTCAATGTGCCGAGTTAACATTCGACAGTAAGGTGATCTGCTGGCGCTTGTTGCAGGCCTCGACCCCGCTGAGCCCTACTTCGCCAACACGGACAAGGTGGTCAGGCTGGACCCGTCCGACGCCGAATTCGTGGACGTCATCCACACCGGAGGATCAAGCTTCCAAAGCGGACCCAGTACGTGTCCACCATTAGTGTCCTCTAGGCTGCATGCTCTTGTTTGCGTGTTTGATCGTTCGTTTGGTAACGTTCAGCGAAAATGGGAATGACAGTCACAGGGATAGGTGTGGACTCTCTTCACGGGTTAAGTAGCTACCCGGCTATGGGATGGGGAAGCCGGGGTTCATTGAAAGAGTCGAGGTCAAAATTTAGGAGGGAAGGGGGGAAGGTTCAACTTATTGACGGTGGAAAGTCGTCTACGATAAGCCAGTGTTCCGCAGGAAGTGCGTGTCTTCAGAGCCTCGCCTCGCAGACTTTAGGCCGTATAAGGGCGCGGCTGGACGGAAGCAGTTGGTGATCGTCGAACCAGCTTGTGCATGCCAAGTAGCCCACGCGCTTTTCGCAAAGGACGTAAACAAAACGAGAAACAGAATCAAGATTGGCACCCGCCTAGCACAAAACAAAGCAAAAAACAAGAAAGCGTTCGTGTCAATGAAGGTCCTTTGATGTTGGCACGGGCTACAGCGGGTACCTCGGGGCGAGCTGGAGTCCCCCCGATAAGCTGCGCTTCAGAGGAGTAGACACACTTTTCGGCCGTTTTGGTGCTCAAAATTATTGTGGCCAATTACCCGAAACTTTGTCCAAAATCTCAGAAAACGATAAAAAAAAAAAAAAAAGAAATACTCCGCAACGGAGCGACACAATTTATCGCCCGAGCGTCCCCCGACATTGCATATACATAAACTTCTCTTAAAGCTTAGCAAGCTGCATTTTTGAATCTCAATGATCGCCAATGGCGCCCGCTCTGCACTATAGGCAACAAAATGGCGGCGCCCACAAGAGCATCGGGGAACGAAGTGCCGCTACTCTAAAGCCGCCGTCACACTGGCCGTATACATCATACAAAAAGAGAGGGTGTTCCCTTCACATACGATGACAGAAGTGCCCGCGGGCATGCTTATTCAAGAATATCCGTAGCATTTCTTAGTTATATGTCGAGACCGGATATGACGAAGTCGGTTATAACGAAATAGCGGCTACTACTAAACGACCACGATTTCCCATTCCTTTTTGCACCTCGTTATAACCGAAGTCGGTTATACCGAAATAGCGGATATAGCGAAGTGATTTCCGATTCCCGTTGAGTTCATTATAACCAGTCTCAAGTGTAGCACCATCCAGAAAAAGAAAAGAAAAAAAGTGTTCGAGTCAGTAGAAGCTTTTTTTTTTTTTTAGGGGGACGGGCATGCGCGGCAACAGGTACCTTGGGGTGAGTCATCGGCTCGCCTTTCGTATTAGAACGGCGGATTCGTGCCCATATTCCACCCTACGCATTGCTTTGTTTTCTTAGTTTGTTTTCCCCCTGGTGATTCTCGCACCCGTCTGTGCAAACCGGTATCCTTGAAGCGAGTGTCCCGCTGCTCCGTAACTTCGACCTCGTTTGTCCTGCATGCGTCGCCCCGTTACGAACAAGAGTGACCCGAGCGGCGGGGCGGGCTTAATGCTAGACTCACGCTTTTCGTCTGCATGCTCTTCCGAGCGTTCGCTGTGCTACGGGTAATAAACGGGCCTTCACTATGTCTTTGTTCCGATCGGCGCTGCGCTCGCGATCGCGTGTCAGAACGGACGCTCGCGTTGACAACGAAAGGTCGCGGCTTCATGGTTATACAGGCTTGACAATTATCACCCGCACGAAGTCACCTCGATGGTCTTTTGATGAGCCTAGTCGAAACGTGACAAGGTGTTCGCTTAGTGATGACGTTTTTTTTTTTTTTCGATTTTGACGACTGTGTCGTAGCAACAATATAAAACGGTGAAGAAAATGGTGCCGTGAGTATACAATTAGCAGACAACGAAAACGTAAGTCATCCGTTAGGCTCAGTGGGAACTGGACACCGCGTTCGTTCGCTCTACACTTCTAAGTTATGTATTTAATTTACGGTATCCTGTTCTAAAGCCTTTCGTGTTGGCATGAAGATCGTGTGACATAATATCAAGCTTGGCGGCATAACTTTTAGGTGACAGGGCGTCTCTCGAATTCTCGGCCTCCAGCCTTGACTTCTGTCGTGCATCAGACTTGTCGTAACTGGTGATAAGTAGCCGGGATCGCAGCTCGTGATGTCGCGTTGAGACAAATCCTGATCATGACGTTACGAATGGAAAACGTCAATGGGCTCCACCTATTTTCGAAGGAGTGGCGTCGCGTGCTATTTGTTAAGCCTAATCTAAACCTAACAAGCAGTTATGTTACACTTGCCATCGCTTTTGTCTCGTGGGGATTGCGTAGTAGAGACTGGGACGTACCGGTTTGTAACAAAGGCTGTACAGGTGTCCCATTTTTTCTTTCTTTTCGGAAAGCGGGAAAAGGTCGTCCCGCTTGTCGAAGATTTTTGCGAAGATACACTTGGCACGTTCTCGGAGCGCGTGGCACGGACGCACGGCAGAGAAAGCGTCTACGAACAAAGCAAGGAGGCGGGCGGATTTAATTGGCACGAAACCGTTTGTAGGCGTTGCGCCAGAATGCCATTGTTGTTGTGCGGTGTTTCGGTTACGTGGTCCCGCAGTCGCCGTGCTTTTGTTCGTTTCTATATCCTTGTTTTTTCTTTGGCTCGTGGCGAGAAGCTTCCGCTCGCAAGGTCGCATTGTCTTCCCGTAGCTCTTGTCCGCCGTGTTTCGTTTCGGTTCCACCGTCCTTGTTCGACGACTGTCGCAGTGGCGGTGAAAGTTGAAGGTTCCTGTGGGCTCTCTGGTTCCTTTTAGATCACGCTTTTTTCTTGTTTTATTTTACTTAGTTGGTCGTGTTTGATTTTGTTTTTGCGAGCCTATGTGCGTTCAAGAGTGTGCGCGAGCTTGCTCGTGTGCCTGTGTATCTGCTCGCGTGCGTGCTTGTGTGTATGTGTGGAAGGTGTTTGTTTGGCCTGTTTTTGTGTCTGTGTATATTTTTTAAACTTTAATGCTTGCAAGCTTGCGAGCGTTCCAAAATGCATGTGTGTGCATGTGTGTTGCGTGGTGTCTGTGCCTCTGTGAGGCGGTTTATTTGCCTCTCTGAGTTCGTGTATGTTTGTACAACTGTTTACATGCGTGCGAGCCTACGAATGTTAAGGCTCGCTCACACAGTTGCGTCGATTGCGTTCCGTCGTGCTGCGCAGTACCTTTCCACTGGCTCGTCGTGAGGGTTGCCATAGCGACATGTTCGACGTGAGCAGTCTTAGCGAAGTGCGCATGTACAGTCACACACGAACGCAACTTTGTGAACGAGCCTTTATAGTGCGTGTGCATCCGTGCTTATGTGTGTCTGCTGTGCGCGTGTGTGTATGTACGTAAAAGGCATGCGCGCTCAGCAGCAAGGCCACTGCGACGGCTGCTAACGTGACTTCAATGAAAGCCGCGGATATATCGTATATGAGCTTCATCCTGCTCTTCCGCACGTTGGTGGGGTTTCTTCGGTTGCACGACGTCTTGACACGAATCGGGACGGCCGCTCGGCTCCCCGCGCGCCAGACTCGCCGCCCGTTTCTACGCCGATGATTCCGTCGGGCCGCGTACATACTTGACACGGATTTTGTCCGTATAGATAATTGTTTCGCGTCCCGTTTGTTTTCTTGCTCCGGCGGGCAGTGATGTGGGTTGCGCACGGGCGCTGCTCGACGCGTCATGCTGCGGTGTCAGGGTCAACTAGGGGGGGATAAAGCAGGGGGGGACATTTTTTTTTCTTCTTTAAAAGTCGCTTCGCGACAGGGGACGAGTGCCTTACAAAAATTGTCTTCGAGGACAAAGGGGGTGGTGTAGAAGACAAGGCCCTGCGGGTGACGTCATCGTTGGTGGACCCAGACTCGCCCCAAGAGGCAAACACGAGAAACGCCGCAAAGCGGCAGACGCGTGCGTCTTGGCGTCACCGCGTGTGCTAGCGTCGCGCTCGTTGTGAGGCGCCGCACGACGCGTTAGCGGCGACGCTGACGCAAGTTGTTCGGCGCGGGGCGTGGATCCATTCGTGATGACGTATTTATTTATTTATTTATTTACCCTCAAGGCCCCGAAGGGCATTACAGAGGGGAGTGGGGGGGGGGGGGGGGATTAGGTGACAGGGTACAGTTGTTGATACATGAAATATGATACAGTAATTAATGCACGCTTGCTTAGACACTTCAAAAATATTTACACAATGTTATAACAGTAATAACAACTAGAAAATGGTTAATGAAAACTAACAAACAATGCATTTTTAAAATCAATAATATTGGTTATGGAGGCTATGTCAGCGGAAAGGCGATTCCAATCGGAGCTAGTACGAGGAACGAAGGAGTTATAATAAGTGTTAGTTTTGTAATTGGGGATACCGACTTTGTACTGGTGATCTACGCGGGATGAAACATAAGTAGGTGGCGTTAGAAGTTCATGGCGCATGAAAGGGTTATTATGGTAAATCTTGTGAAATAAAGTGAGGCGAAAAATGCGTCTACGGTTCATTAGTGTGGGTAAACCAAGGGTATTTTTCATTGAAGTAACACTGGATGTACGATGGTAATTACAGAGTATGAAACGTGCTGCACGATTTTGAACCGATTGCAATGTTTCAATGATAGTATTATGACCGGGGTCCCAGATAGAACATGCATATTCAAGTTTAGTACGTACTAAAGTAGTATATAAAAGGAGTTTTAGTGACACTGGTGACTGTGAAAAATTTCGTTTGAGATATCCAAGCATGCGATTGGCGTTGTTAGTTACGTAGTTAGTGTGAGTTACCCAGGAAAGATCAGAAGTTATGTAAACACCTAAGTATTTGTAAGAGGACACAGACTGCAGCGGAGTGTCGTCAATGTAGTAATTCGAGCATATGTTAGTATGACGGGAAACTCTCATGGATTTACATTTATTAAGATTGAGTTGCATCAACCACTTGTCGCACCAGTCAGATACAGAGTTAAGATCAGATTGGAGAACAGAGGTGTCAGAGTTATTTGTTATTTCTCTATATAGTACACAATCGTCAGCAAATAAACTAATATTAGAGGAGA